GTGCTGGTTGCCCTTGAGCATCATCCCTGAAGCCGGCCCATCACAGATGTGCTCCTTGAGGATCTTCTCAAAGAGTTTCCCTAGGATTGAGGTGAGACTGATGTGCCTATAGTTGCCCGGGTCCTCCCTCCTCCCTTTTTTGAAGATGGGGACCACGTTAGCTATCTTCCAATCATCTGGCACCTGGCCCGAGCACCACGAGCGCTCGTAAAGCCATGCCAAGGGCCCTGCAATAACCCCAGCTAGCTCCCTCAACACCCTGGTGTGGAGAGCATCTGGACCCGCTGACTTGAACACGTCCAGCCCCTCCAGAAGCTCTCTAACCTGGTCCTCCCCAATCTGAGGTCTGGAGGCGTTCCCCTCGAGTCCGTCTGGCACCACAGTGGGGAAGTCCCAGTCCCTGCACAAGAAAACGGAGGTGAAGAATTGGTTAAAGAGTTCCACTTTCTCCTCTGGCGCAACCACCAGATTGCCCAGCGTACTTTGCAGGGGCCCCACATTACCTGGTGCCTTCTTCATCCTCCCTATATATAGTCCTTACTGCGCAGTCACCTAGTATTTGGATAAGCAGTATGCTTATGCATTACTGCACCATACCATAGCTGCATGTTTTCTTTTCTGATGCTACTGCTCAATAATATCATATGTAGATGTCCCTGGTATTAACCAAATTCAGACTAACAAGTGGGAGCAAAAGAGAGTCTAACCTTGGACTCTGTTGAAAATTCCACTCTTGAACAATAAAGACCTCAGAAAGAATGGCAAAAATAAAGCGAATATTTTCAGTATACCAGAAGTGGTAGATTTGCAAGGCAAGGGATGGATCCTTTGGGTCATGGAGTAAGGAACATGTAAAGAAGTAAAGGACTTGCAGAGAATCAAAAAATATTTTTTGCATTTGTCCACCAGAGAAAATCTTAAGTTATCCCATACTAGTGTCCAAATAGGAAGTGCTGGAACAAATTGATTAAAGTGGAACAAGTTAATATATCATTTTTATGCAGGAGCTCTCTAGGAATGAGGTGGCTGCACTGCTGTCAGGAATATGTAGTCTTTCATAAAAATGACCCACTATGTCAGAAGACTGAAAGGCAATAAGACACTGAAAAAGATCCTGGAAATTATAGCCCAATAAACCTTTCTTCATTCAGCTAAACAAGCCAAAATGATAAATTAAAACAGAATTATAAATCTTCATACCTTTCTGTACTGTGCCCACTATGCCCATGGAGCTTTGTTACAAAATTTATGCATATAAAGATGATGATAATTTTTAGAATTCATGTACCACTTAGCAAACATCAAAAAAGCTCTTTTCCAGCTATCAGCAATACTTATTCATTCAACAGGTCTGCTTTAATCAGAGTTGTTGTGTTTTAATGAAAAGGATATTGATTTTCATCTATCTGGTTTAGGAAATCAGTTTTTGTCTACAGTTAAGTTGACTATTCATACAAACCTCATCATTTGTAAGTATAGTGCATCTTGTTATTGACATTTTAACTCTGATAGTTTAAGAGGAGTTTTCCAATAATTGTCTGAAACAGCTCTTTTTTGTTTTGTCAGCTAAAATAAGTTTTAGTGCACTCCCCATTGAGATCTTTATCATTGCTGGGATGTGTCCTTTTTTAATCAATAACAGCTCTGTTGATCTTACAGCCTATGTTGTAAGCTCAAGTTACATTCTAGCATCCCAGACATTACTCATCCTCTTCAGAAACAAGTTTTTCTGTTTCCCACCAGAGTCGAAACATTATTGAAACACCACATAAGATACAATAATGAGTCCTAAACCTATTAAAAAATGGAAGACAATAATAACCAAGAAAAATCTACCAGATGGTCATTTTAATAAATACATTGAAGTCTTTTTTTTCCAATTTTGTTGAATAACATAACAGAAACTTTCAGACCACCAAACCAGTTTTCACAATCTGTCATTAAGTTTGCATTTCACAGAAATAGTCCTGACGAGCACTAATAGATGAATGTTTGTGCAATAATAAAACAGTATAAGGCATATTTACACCATCCTTACATACAGAACACTGTACACACAAAAAAATCACAGATCCAGAACAAAGCAAATTGAATCCTCTAGACATGTCACGTTTATAGGCTTGGCATTAAACAAATATTTATCCAAGCAACAGACAAACCTTTTGTTCTTGTGTGATTTATTTGTAACATTGTGCTCATGCAAAATGGATATTTGCTTTATTGCATTAACATTGAAAGAATACTGGGATTTGATTCTGAAACCAGTTCACCCGAATTTAAAACTCTGCTCTCTCTTTATCTGTAGCAAGTTGGAGTCATTGTTACTGCTGACATAAAATGAAGAGTTATCTGATGACTGGGTTTGTATCTGATAAATTCCAAAATGACAATGAAGGTGATTATATTTTGAACTCTTTCTTGATCATGCACATTTTATTTTACTATTATAAAATGGTTTAGACCCAATACCTTTTGCTTTTTATTTCTATGGTTTTTTTTAAAGAAATCACGTACTTTCCAACATCCACTGTTCACAGAAAGAAATGAGCAGCAGAAATCACTCTGACTGCAGAATATACCATAAGGACATCAGTAGGATAGTGGCAACTTAATAAACATCAAATGCACCAGAGATACGTCATGAAAGAGGTGATTACTATAACCCATATTTTTGTAAGAGTTCAGACTGCCATGGACGTTTGCGCTCTGGAAAGTAATCTGGAATGTGGATTTTTTTAAAATCTTGAATACATTTTCTCATTTCTTCTTCAACACTCAGCTTCTCACACACCTTCTTTTTAGAAAGATTTGTTTCTCTGGATTTGCTAATGAGAGTTTGAAAGAGCTCACTGTTCCTGCGTTTGTCTGGTGGTGGCATCCACTGCACAGGGGCCTTCTTTGATGGGCGATCCAAAGTTAGAGTATTTGGTTGGTGTCCTGTAGCCTGTTGGTTGCTGGCAGCATTTTCTTGAGGAGTGCTAGCCTCTGAATGGCTGTCACAACTAGAAGTGGACAACTCATTACATGAAGTCCCACTTTCACTTCCTTTGTCTGTGACTTTGTCATGCTTCCTTTCCTCATGTTCTTGTTTAGGAGAGACAGTTCTCTGTGGTGGTCCTAGCAAAAAGGAAAAAAAATCCGTTAAGCAAGCAGGGGCCTAAAGAGAAAAACTAAACTCTGTTCTAATCATTTTTAAATACAATGAATTCCGCTTGATAGAATCACTGGTTAATAGAATCAGTCACTTTTTAAAATCAATATGGGAAAAGCAAAACCATTTGTATATTATTACATGTAAAACTTCCTCATATTAGAATCACAATTTTCAGTTTTTGGAATCATTTTACCCAAGAAGCCTGAAGATTTTACAGTTTTGTGAGGAGCCCTATACAGACTGGCAGAGTTCCCACCTGCAGGGGGATGAGAGGGAGTGGGAGGAGGGCTGTCAGGCAGGGGACACCATATTCATATACTATAGATGCACATGGCCCCAGGCAACCTGGAGAACAGCTCCCGCAGGTAAGTGGGAGGGAGAATTGAGCACCTGTAGGAAGGGTAGGAGGGAGTTGGGCAGGGCTAGGGCCCCAGCTGTGAGACGGGTCCACAGGTGGCTCATCCAGGGGTTAGGAGGTGGGGCTGGGCTCCCTGGTGATGTGTCCCCTGCGAGCACAGTAGCTTTGAGTGGCACAACCCTGTGCCACTGCCCTCACTACCTGTGCCCGACCTCAGCCCCACCCCGTGCATAGATCTGGGGGGCACAGGTCCCCCCGACCTCCCTGGGAGTGCACACCATGCTGAAGAGCTGGCCTCACCCCACGTGCCTGATCCCACAGTGGGCAGCAGCAGGTGAGGAGCCAGGCTCCACTCTGCTGCAGCAGCTGCCACCTCCAGGAGGCTGTGAACCTGGGTCTCTGGCCCCATAGCCCTAGCAGCTGGCACCCCCTCTGGTAGGGCTGGAGGGCTAGAGGCTGGGGGGCAAGAGGCACCAGCAGGGTTGTGGTCGGAAGTGAGTATTTGTCTTCTTAAAAGAACGGGTCTCCTTTTAATGGAATCAGACAGTTACTAGAATCAAATCACCTTTTCCCAACATGATTCCAATAAGAGGAATCCACTGTAACATGTGTGACAGCCAGAACCAGAGGGATTAATAAGCAATAAATATGTGCTTCTTGGAGGCATTTGGAATTTTTGCCTAATATAATGCTTGTAAGTTTGTAACCTGAAAATGTAACTTGTCTGTCATAAGTTTAACCAAAATGATAAAACTAACCATTCGTGGAACTGACTGAGCCCCAAAGGCGAAGCTGTAGCTGCAAAATTAGCTGACCTAACGGTTTTTGCTCAAGGTTTGGCCTTGATGATAAAAACCACATCCAACTGCCTGGCACACCCAACACATTCCAGGGAAGCACATCCCAAGAAAGCATATTCAGAGAAACCTAAAAGGGGTTGGGCTTAGGTGGAGTAATGTCAATTTCAAACCTAAAGGTTCTGCATTGTAATTTGCTTATTGGATAAACCTGAGTCTGGGTAGTAACCTTTTATGATAATTTTTAACACCTTTCAATCCTATAGGGTAACAGCTATAGGGCAAGATTGTGAGTGGCTCTAAAGCCAACAGATTAGCATAAGACTAGGTATAAAAAGTGTGTCAGGTGACCAGCAGGAAGGAGGGAACAGAATGGTCATTGCTGTTCCAGCCTGGACTAAGGACTCCCAGTGTGAGTGAGGTTCAGATCCTGATCAAGGGACCTTTCCCAGTAATCCCTCTGACAACATCAATTGGGGATGCCTGACTTTGCTGGAATCACTTGGCGCGCACCTGGCATCGAGGGACTACCAATAAGTTGCCAACCCATGTCTATCTGTTGTTTTGAACAGCCCAATGGCTGATACCCTCACAGTGCCCAGTTGGCCTGCAACAGAATTGATCCATCTATCTGTTGTTATTATTTACTATTAGCTCTTTAATACTGCATTATCTGCTTATTGCATTTATCTTTCTGTTAACTGTTGTGTATGTAAGCTATAATAAATTTGCCTTTGCTTCACTCCCAACTTTGTCTCCTCGATCTGAAACTGAACCTAACAGCCCAGTGGCTGATACCCTTGCAGTGCTCAGTTGGCCTGCGATAGAATTGATACACTCACAGTGCCCAGCTGGCCTGTGACAAACATGCTGCACTGTCACAAATTGGGACCAGATTCTCAGCTAGTGGAAGCTGGAACAGAATCATCTTATTCAATTTACACCAACCTGAGGGTGTGATACTACATGTGTGTTCAAAACAATATTCTCCCCACTAAAATATATTTCTATGTCAAAAATAAATTCATTGTCTGCAGAAGAATCCAGGTAATGAAATGTGCATAATGCTGACAGATTATCTGAACCAGAAATCCCTCCAGGCATTTTTAAATGAACTATTTTGCTATTACTTTCCCATCAGTTTATGGGAAAATTGATTTTTGAGTATTAGGAAAATAATACCATACAATTTGCAAAACTTTTCCTTTGCTTAAGTAAAAATGCTCCTACTGTTATGGTTGTGTTTTGGGAATCTCCAGGGTATTTTTTCTCACAGGTTAGTCCAGATGTTTCTAGGTATCCCCATTATACTGAAACTTAAGATTCAAAAGTAGAAGTAGTCTACCAGTAACAGGGAGTGTCTACATGAGATGCTTACTGTGCAATTGCCTAATAACACTGCACAGTAGCATGGCAGTTAAAAACTGTGCTAATAGCCTACTGCACAGTGTTATTAGGCTAATGCACAGTACGCATCACAAAAAAACAGTGTGCCAGTGCTACTGCACAGTAACTCTAGTTACTGTGCATTTAGTTAGTACTTTATTAAGCAAGTACTAAACTAAATGTGCAGTACCTAAAACGCATTAGTAAACATGTGGAAGCATCCACAATGTATGTACTATTAACTGAGATTCTTGGGACCCAGTTCCAGTTACACATCTGCTTTGTACCACTGACTTTCATGAAATTACAGTAAATACAGCTAATCTTGGTATGAATTCAGTTGCTGATTTTGTGTCATATAAGCCAGCATGTAAACAGCTGGTATGCAGTTCTTAGTAAGATGATATAGAAACTTCTGTAGCTTCTGTGAGTCCAAAGACATTTGATGGCTTATTACTCACTTTGTGGTGCTGAATATCAAATCTTGGCTTTTATTGTCTCTGGATATTATTTTTGCTCTAAAATTCCTCAGTAAAATATAAACATGAAGCATTAGTTGAGAAATACTAAATGCCAAGTGTTTTCACCTCTGCAGGCCTTATTTCAAATCCATAGCTATAAAATGACAATTTCACAAGTGAAACAAATGTAATGATGCTATTCAGAAAGATGTCCACTCACATCATCAAGTTTTGGATCAGACTCTTGGGGCTAGATTTTTAAGCACCTAAAGATGTAAATAGAGACCAGGGGTATTTGAATGGGACTTGGCACCAAAATCTGATTTGGCCCTGCTTAAATTCCCTTTGGCAACCATTTGCAATACTAGAAATCCAGATACCTTGGGAAATTGAGCCTTTGCTTTCTTAGTTCAGTATAACTGATGACAAGCTTTGCAAAACACTAGAAGTCTAAGCATATTACAGCTTATCTATGAGAAAGACTAGGAGCAGTCTGAGAGAGTATTTTCAGCCACCTACTTGCCACTTCGAAAGAAGTATTCTACCAGTAACAGGGAGTATCTACATAAGATACTTACTGCACTTTATCCTAACAATACTGTGTAGTAGCATGGTGGTTAAAAACAGTACTAATAGCCTGCTGACACGCAGGTATCAATGGGCTGGATATCCTTCTTGCCAGCCATGCTCATGTATAGGTTCCATCTTAATTTTTCATCCCTATCCCCACAGTGACCTCACTCTAGAAATTCACAGAGTTATATTTCCCTACCTGGTGCAATTGCAATTTTTCTGTAACACTGGAAACATCTACACATTCTATTAATTGGAACTAAAAAAATATTGTGCAATAATCCTACAGGGGATCACATCAACACGTGCTTCTTCTTGTGAGCAAATTTGCTCCCAATGGGAGCAACCCTGTACCGCTCTGCTCTGCCCCCTTGAAGCAGACAGGGAGCTCCAGGCTTCCCCCCTCCCCACACCATGCTAGCTTGGGGGCTGGCAAGGGGCACAGACAAGCCTATGAACTACATTTCAACAATCTCCTAGATATAGAAACTTATGGATTCAATATAGACATTGGAATTCTGATACACTACAACCTGCCTGACATCTAACTCTGCAGGTACCTTTCCACTTTTACTTGCTACATACTGCTTCCCCCCTACCCCAGCCTATATCTTACCCCCTGATGCCTCCATTTCCATTTTCACTAACTGGCTTTCTTGCCTTCATTGCATACCAGCCTCTGCCTTCTTTACTATTCCTTCCATCCAGGAAGAGCACACACACCGACTGCAGGTGCTTCCTCAGCCTGATGGAGGGTTTTCAACCTGAAAGCTTGCTAAGATATATTTCTCCAATTATTTAGTTGGTCTACAAAAAGATATCCGATTGACCCAAAGAACCTTGTCTGCCACGTCCTTAGACCAACATGGCTCCAACCTACACCCCTAGCACCTGTCTCCGGTCAGCTGACTGGAAGGAGGAAGGGCCCTAGGTACATCTAAGCCCCAGGGCTGGGGCTGGCAGGGACAGTTTTCTGGCAGCTGCTGGAAAAGAAGCTTCTGCAGGAAAGAAAGGCTCTGTGACAGTTTGGCTGCCTGAGATGCTAGTGCTACTGTGCTGTTTACCTATTGTTATTTAAAGTGATGGCCTGGAAGGAAGTTGTGGGGGAGGAGGCGGCCTCATTGGAGCATACTACCATGCCATGTAGAAGCCCTAGCGCCAGTGAGAGTGCAGCAATAGGGGCATAGAGAGCCCAGAGACAATAGAAGGTAGAGTGAGACTGCAACCTCATTACAGGGACGATATTAATATACTATCTGCGACGCATGGGGCATGGTAAGAGGTGTTTGTGAGCCATACATCTAGCCCATAAGGTGTCCCCTTGAGGCACCTGTTTAGAGCAGGTCCAAACAAGGGGTCCAAGAACCTACAGGGTTTAGTGGGGTCCA